CCAGGCAGGCCCAAGGAGTCCCACAGTGCTTGCCTCCATGAACTCATGGCAAAGCAGAACGAGAGGATACACTTATTTTGGTGCGAACACTTTTGGAATGCGTCTCCAGACGGTGTGTGGAACACCCGCTTTGCCATTCGCTCTCTACGAGCCCAGCTCTACTGCACGCGTCTCAGCATTCCTCCTGAATGTTCCCTCACTTGTCAGAGAGGCCAGTGTGTCCAAACCAGACTTCCAGCGTGGCTCCCCTGCTCTGTCCAGCAGGATCCCGGGGACACTACGACCTGGGGAGGAAAGGTTAGCGGTGGTCTCGCTCTCCCTGCACAGCTGTGCCGCCCGGCGCTCCCCCACACACCCTCCCCTCCGCCCTCTGTGCTGCTCGGGTGGAGCTGGCGCAGCTCGGCGACACCTCCTGCCCTGCGACCCCACTGAGTGTTCAAAGCTCTCTGTCCATGGAAGCCCTACTGCGTTCCCGTCAGCTGCAGGGGGATCTGGCGTGACTGCTTTCTCTCCCGCATCCCGGTCATCACTCCCTCTGAAACTGCACACTTCAGTCTTCTCTCGTAGTGTGTTCCCTACAGGAGCTTGGGGTTCCATTCTGTTCCCGACTCCAAACCCAATGTACCCCCAATTTTTTCCAGTCCTTGGGGAATTACTTTGCCAAGTGCCGCTCTCCCAGCTGCCGTCCCATACATGGGTTCTCTCCACTCTCCTCCAGCCATCTGATCCCACACTCAGTCTAGGATTTGCCTCCTCCTTGCTGGCTTAGCCCAGGATCAGAAGTGCCCGATCCTCCCACTGAACCACGTCCGCGAGCCCACTGGGAAATCGCAAGACCCCTGCAGTCTGTCTCCGCAGCCTTTTCTGAAGCTCCGCCCCCCCCCCAACTGGCTCGCAGACTAACACCCTGAAGCCACACCCACACCAGTCCTCCAGAGGAATTCTACAGAAAAATAGGCTTAATTCTCTAGGATTAACATCATAAGGCATGATTAGGTATTAGTTATTTCATAATGAGGACAGCTTTGAGGGAACCTACACACAGTTTGTCTACGACTTTTCTTCTTCACTCGTTTGGCTTTAACTGGTGAGAAACAGCGTCCCCGAGGTCCCGTGTTCCTGTAGGGCAGGCGACTTCCAGCGTCATGTGGAAGGAATCGTGTGACTCAGACTTATCGAGGGCGTGTTTACTGGTCCATGCTAACTACCGCTCAGGAAACCCAGTATCCACGTTCTGGCTAATATTTGGTCACTGATAACAGGCCTGAAAGAAAGCATTCAACAGCACTTGATGTGTCATCAAGTCCAAGATATGGAATTAACCCATCCGTCATCAGAGGGATACAGAACACATCGTCAGATACCCACAATGGGAGCTTTGTCAGCCGCGACAAGAACAGAATCCTGGCACTTGCAGCAACGTGGGTGGGAGCGGAGGACCTCATGTTAAAGAAACAAGCCAGGGGCTGCTCTGTGGCCTGGCAGGCTAAGCCTCCACCTATGGCGCAGGCATCCCCTATGGGCGTCAGTTCAAGTCCCGGCTGCTCCACTTCTGATCCAGCTCCCAGCTGTGGCCTGGGAAAGCAGTGGAAGATGGTCCATGTCCTTGGGCCCCTGCACCTGCATGGGAGACCCAGAAGGAGCTCCTAGCTCCTGGCTTTGGATCAGCCCAGCTCTGGTCATTGTGGTTATTTGGGGAGTGAATCAGTGGGTAGAAGACCTCTGTCTGTCTCTCTCTCTGTGTCTAATGCTTGCTCTCAAATAAATAAAATCTTAAAAAAAAAAAAAAGATGCCAGACACAGAAAAATACCATGTTATCTTTCAGATCTGGAAGCTAAAGAAAAAAAAAAAACCCTCAATCTGAACAGAGAATGGGGATTCCTGGAGGCTGAGGGACTGGGGACAGAGCCAGGTTGGACAATGGGAGGGTGACCGGGGTTAGGCGGAAGGGATGCACAGCTGACGTCACGCAGCACAGGGGGGCGGGGAGAAGATCTCCCGGACACTTGTGAGCAAACACCAGGAGGGAGCTCCAGCTGAGTCTTCAAAACTCAGAGGCGAAACGCCATCACCCTGATTCCTCAGTAGGCGTCAGGAACACGTATTGAAGTGCCGCCCCGTACCCCAAACCTAAGTACAGTCATCGCCAAATTGAGATCAAGAGTGGCCACCCGCGGCTGCCGCCACGCCCAGGTCTCCGGTGGGCGTGGAGCCACTCACCTGCGCAGGAGCTTGCCGCGAAGCCCACCCTCCTCCGAGCTCGGTCGAAGACGACGTAGAAGCCCTCCATGACGGTGGCGCCGATCACCAGCGCGTTGGTGGAGGGGGAGATGCCGAATCTGTAGCACTCATAGTTCAGGCCGGCCCCCACCATGGGCTGGATGTAGAGCTGCGGGGGGAGGACAACCGGGGGACACCGTGAGCCGGGCGAGGTCCAGCACGAGCGAGGCGCAGCGTGCGCCCGCCCCTCCCAGGGGACAGGAGGGGCCCCGGAAGAGGCAGGCTGATTTGTCTGTGTCCAGCACGCAAGGGAAGCTGGGGTCAGCCCTTGTGCAAGGCACACACAGTGACACACAGGGACCACTTTAACTGTACACGGCTTACATGTCCATCGATTCATCTGTCCCTTCGTCGGCTCACCCATCGTCTGTTAGTCTGTCCATCAGTCCCTTCACCCACCCACCCACCCTCCCATCCAACAACCCACCTGCCCACCAGTCTGTCCATCAGTCTGTCCATCCATCTGTCCATCCAGCCACCCACCCATCCATCACCTCCTCACCAGTCTGTCCATCTACGCATCCAACTACCCATCCAACCACCCACTCAGCATCCAGCCACCACTCACCAGTCAGTCCATCATCCGTCCATCCATCCATCCATCCATCTGTCCGTGCACCCGCCCATCGACCCGCCCGTCTTCCCAGCAGTCACTTGTCAAGCACTCGGTTCAATGCCAGCGCTGCCCTCGGTATCAGGGCACAGTGACGGTGCCACACCTCCCGGTTCCTCTGAAGCGGCCCCTCTCCGGGGGAGCAGGTGAGTAACTGTGAGGGCCCGTGCCAGCGGGCGCAGCTGACGCCCCCCACGCTGGGTCTCTGTCTTTGTGGCCTCGGAGAGGGCGCCCGCCCCGCCTCCTCCCTCGCCTGCTGCCCCTCGGCACCTGCCCTGCAGCTGCTTTGCCTTCGGCGTCTGCAGCACCCACAGCACGCCAGGGCCTCCGTCCCTGGGCCCCTGCCGCAGTGGGTCCCGGAGACACACACGCACACACGCACACCACACCTGCACCACATGTATACCACGTGTACACAACATGCGTACATGCATACCACACCTGCACCACATGTATACCACGTGTACACAACATGTGTACACGCATACCACACCTGCACCACATGTATACCACATGTACACAATATGTGTACACGCACACCATGCCTGTACCACATGTATACCACGTGTACACACACACACCACACCTGCACCACATGTACACACACGCACACACACACGCCTGCACCACATGTACACACACGCACACACGCACACCACACCTGCACCACATGTATATCACATGTACACAACATGTGTACACGCACACCACACCTGCACCACACACACCACAGAGACACAACCACACCACACACACACCACATGTATACCATACACCACACACGTGTACTATACACGCAAATATACACCACACACACACAACCACACACACCACAGAGACACAACCACACCACACACACCACACCTGCACCACATGTATACCACATGTACACAACACGCACACACGCACACCACACCGGCACCACATGTACACAACATGTGTACACACACACCACACCTGCACCACACACACCAGAGACACAACCACACCACATACACCACATGTATACCATACACGACGTATACACCACACACATACACAACCACACACACCACATGTATACCATACACACGACGTAAACACCACACACATGTGCACTATACACACGAAATATACACCACACACACACAACCACACACACCACACCACATATATACCATACATATGACATATATACCACACACCACATATATGCCATATACATGAAATATACACCACACATCACATATACATCACAGAGACACAGCCACACCACACACATGACATATATACCACACACACACAACACACAACCACACTACACACACAACATATACACCACACACACACCACACACAGAACCACAGCACATATGCACCACATGTACATCACACACAACCACACACACACCACATATACACATCACATATACATCAGAGACACAACCACACCATAACACACGACATATGTACCACACACACACAACCACACACGCATCACATATACACCACAAACAACCACACCACACATACATAACAAATATACACCACACCATGTATACACCACACACACACACACAACCATAGCACACACAAACCACACACACACACATACACGCCATACACCACATATACCACAGACACACACCGCCTTTGAATGTTCTAATCCATAAGAAAACACACACAGTTATCGCAGGGCACCTGGTGCTGCGACCCCAGGACCACCGGGCTCCTGTCTCCCACGCGTCACCCTGGCTGTGCCCTGGGGGACTTGCTCGGGACGGAATCCCAGACTGGCCTTTTTGTGACAATGTCAGCCAAGACAGAGACCTGGCTCTCCTGCACACACAATGCTGCCCACCCATCACTGCCCGCGCCTGGAGGGTCGCAGGCGGGGGCCCGGCCGGCATCTTCGCCGGCTGGGAGCCCGTGGCTGCCCTCAACGTTAGTAAGAAGCTGCTGGGCGGAGACATGCTGACAGTGACAGCAGCACGTGGAGCCTGTGTGCCCAGGCGTCTCCCGCCCCTCTCTACAGCCTCGCAGGACCACAGCAGGCAAAGGCTACGTGGGAAACCAGGAATACGGCGGGGAAAGCGGCACACTTGTAGGAACCAAAAGTGTGAACACAGCAAAGTCAACCCAGACCAGCACCCCCCACCCCAGGTTCCTAAGGGAGATTGACTATGAATGCATATGCAGATATGCAAATGAAGGGGCTGCTCCTTCACCCCCCTCCCGCATGCGCCAGGTGCCCAGCCTTCCGCTCCCAGGGCCCCGTTCTGCCCTGCACACCGACTGTTCTCCCGAATGCCTGCTCTTGCCACCACTTCATAGCGGCCCGGGCTCTGCACGCAACCTTAGGCCACGTGTCGTCTGCCACATGCGCCCAGCGGGGCGGTGACATGTGTTACAAACCACACGGAAGAAATGATGTCCCAGCTCGCCAGCCAGCCGAGCACAATTTAATCATCAAAAGCACGTTATTTCTTTCTTTTTTTTTTGACAGGCAGAGTGGACAGTGAGAGAGACAGAGAGAAAGGTCTTCCTTTGCTGTTGGTTCACCCCCCAGTGGCTGCTGTGGCCGGCGCACCGCGCTGATCTGATGGCAGGAGCCAGGTACTTCTCTTGGTCTCCCATGGGGTGCAGAGCCCAAGCACTTGGGCCATCCTCCACTGCACTCCCGGGCCACAGCAGAGAGCTGGCCTGGAAGAGGGGCAACCAGGACAGAATCTGGCGCCCCAACTGGGACTAGAACCCGGTGTGCCGCCACCACAGGCAGAGGATTAGCCTATTGAGCCGTGGCGCTGGCCCAAAAGCGCATTATTTCAAAGAGGCTGGAAACATCACCCTAACGCCAGGGCGTGCAGTGGCACTCATCCAGGGATCGTGTGTTCTCCTGGAAATGTTGCCGGTGAGGATTACCGCTTCTCTCTTAGAGTCAGAGAGACGGACAGGCGCGGGGCTCGGTGGTTTGCTCAAGACGCAGCGTGAGCCAAGGGCAGAGCCCCGCACGTAACTCAGGCCTCCCGCACCCAGCACGCGAGTCTTCCGTGGGGCCGCGTTTCCCTCGAAGCTTTCTGTCCTACGCAGCAGCATGGCGGGTGGGAGGGACCCGGATGGAGGGAGGACGGGGGCCTTCGTGCAGGGGGTCGCGAGCAGCAGCAGGAGCAGCGTGGAGCAGGGTAACAGAAGTCAGCGCGGGGGCTGGACGGGTAGGGGGCGGGGAGGGGTTGGGGGTGGACAGGCCGTGGGAGGGGGCATGGGAAGCCAGGCCTGGGCCAGGAGCTACACCCTGGGGACCCACTGACTTCTCGCAGCAGGGGAGCTGAGCCGTGGCTGAGGGAGATTAGTGTGACAGCAGTTCTGAACAGGACAGAGTGGGTACACAGACGGCACCCCAAGGTCCCTGGGGGACTTGAGACGCGCGGACAACACCTGGGGGTCCAGGGGAGGCGGTGACAGCAGACAGGAGCCAGGGCATGGGGAATGCGGGTGGGGAGACCAGACTGCAGAGGGCACAGCCTCTGTGTTCAGCATTGTAGAAAGATAACGATCACGCCCAGGGCAGTTTTAGTCTTCAGAGACACAGAACAGGAGACAGGTGAGTTGAGGGGGCTGTGGCAGCCATCCTGTAGCCACGCCCTTTGTAGGCTGGCTCCTCCCCCTGAGGGGGGGCGGTCTCAGTGCCCAGCCGGTGACCCTGGGTTGGCCTTGGGCTTGGCGGGCAGCACCATGGAAAGGATGGTGGCCGTTCTTGTCCCTCCCAGACCCTGGTACCATGTGGGGGTCGGCCGGGCTGCCCGCTGTGTGGGTGACATTCTGCACCCCGACACGCCCCTGGCTGAGTGAGGAGCACAGCCGTGCAATGGGTCTGCAACACGGGGTGACGCGTGCTCCCCGGGAAGCGCTCACGCCACGTGCGTACCTGCGGCAGAATGGTGATGCGGAAGGAGCGGCTGGAGTTCTCGTCCCTCAGGTAGATGGAAATCTTGGGGAAGTAGGACCAGGGCGTCTCCGAGTTCGTCCAGCACGCCAGCTGGGACCCCGTCCAGAAGCCGTCCGAGAATTCCGGAATCTAGGCAGAAGGAGACGCCGGAGCATCGGCGCCAGCCCGGCACGTCCACAGGAAGCCGCGCCTGGCTGGCTCGGTGCCCTCGCCGGAGCCCTCGGGGATAAAGGCTGCTTGGTGTGCACAGAGCAGGGGCCCTGTTGGAGTGAGGGTGCAGGCAGAGTGACCTGCGCTGACCGACGCCGTGGGGGCAACATCACCCCCTCGCTTTACTACGGGGAGTCCAAAGCACAGAGAGGCGCAGCGACCTGGCCCAGGGCACACAGCGGTGGGCGATGGCCCTTTAGGAACAAGAACAAATTCCAAACATGGCCCTCAAGGCCCTTCTGGGCTCAGCTGCCCTCTGAATTCCCTGGGCCCAGCAGAGCCCCAGTGTGAGCCCTCTGATCTTCTGGAACATTCTGTCCTCTGGAGAGCAGCTCAGGCACCTCTTCCTCCAGGAAGTCCTCCCTGACTTCCCAACACAACAAGACTACACCTTCATGCACAGCTCGTGGCCTTCCTGCTGGTGGCAGGCGGCAAGTCATACTTGCTGGGTGACTCACTTCTGTTTCCTGCACTGGACTCTAAGCCCTTGGAAGGGCAGAGGGGTCCTCTCCTGTCCATGTAGTCATCACATGTAGCACCCAGAGACCCAAGAAATGCCCGTGGGGAAACGCATGGCTTCCAGGGACACCAGGTGGCCGCCAGCATAGGACCCACTTGCTCCTCCCCTCAGGGCAGTGCCGTCTGCCCCCAGCCCGGCTGCGGGGGCTGTGAGTTCAGGGGACCTGCGAGGCCCCCACAGGAAGTCCTGTGCAGAGTAGGCCCTGGCAGAGCTGGTCTGAAGTGGCTCCTGTAACCCAGCCCCCGGCCCCTGGGGGCACAGCCGGGAGGAGCTGTGATGGGGCAGGGGTTGTCTGTCCAGGGAGCCTCCCTGGGGAAGGAGCAGGGGGGTCATGGCAGGGGCGGGCACAGCCCAGATGCTGGGTGGACCTTGCAGGGGTGGGCACAGCCCAGGGTGCTGGGTGGACCCTGCAGGGGCGGGCACAGCCCAGGGTGCTGGGTGGACCCTGCAGGGGCGGGCACAGCCCAGGGTGCTGGGTGGACCCTGCAGGGGCGGGCACAGCCCAGGGTGCTGGGTGGACCCTGCAGGGGTGGGCACAGCCCAGGGTGCTGGGTGGACCCTGTGGAGGTGGGCACAGCCCAGGGTGCTGGGTGGACCCTGCGGGGGCGGGCACAGCCCAGGGTGCTGGGTGGACCCTGCGGGGCCGAGCACAGCCCAGATGCTGGGTGGACCCTGCGGGGGCAGGCACAGCCCAGATGCTGGGTGGACCCTGCCCGCTGGCCGACGTGGGTCACGGCAGGGGAAGATGGCGCTGAGGGTGAGAAGGGAGGCGAGATGCGGCTGGGTGGGCAGCGGGCGCTGTCAGTGACCCAGCCCTTCACGTGTCAGGGGTCAGGGTGTGAGCAGGGCGTCCACGTGGACGTGTGTGTGTCTCCTTAGCTTGGAGTCCTTGGAGGTCCAGGGGACGGGCCTGGGCTGGACACGGGCCCCCGAGAGTCACAGGCAGGGCTGCGGACGCAACAGCACAGGGGTTGTGCAGAAGAGGGGCCTCGGCCCAGCCAGAGGAACAGGCCAGCGAGGGAGACCCCACAAGGAGGGGCACGGGCAGGGGGCGTCCGGGGGGCGGGCACGTGGCATCACAGGAGTCCAGGGGCCGACAGCAAGGAGACAGGAAGCTGGGGTCGGCGAGAAGTGAACAGAACGTTGGGTGCCACTGGGTGACCTGGGCACAGCCACCTACCGAGTACGGAGCAGGTGCTGGGTGCTACCTTGCTGGGGGCTACCACGGGAGTGGGGAGACGGCGCCCTGCCCGTTCACCCACCACGCTCACTGCCACGCTGCGATGACTGCTTTGCAAAGTTCCTAATGCCAGCGCTGGTATGTTTTTGCTTTTCAAAAATGCAAAGTCGAGGGGAGCTCTTCACGGCGAGCTGGTGAGAGGTTGCGGGGGGCGGGGTCATTGTGCTGGACTCGGTGAAGGGCAAAGGGTGGCCAGGCCCACAGTGAGCACGGGGCTCCAGTGCCAGAGTCCGGCCAGCTCCCGTGTGCAGACAGCAGGGGGCTCTGGGGAGACAGGGGACTGGCCAAAGTGGCACAGCTGAGTCGGACGGGTGACTTACTGCCCCAGAGCCGTGCTGCTTACCTGGGAGTCTGGAGCCAGAGCCCTGGCGCCCGTGACCCCGTGTGCACCTGCACGCCCTGCCTTGCCCGATATGCAGGCTCCTTCCCACAAACCGCTACCTTGGAGAATCTCATGTGCACAACCCGTGCCTGCGGCACAGCCCCACATGTGCACGGCCCTTCCAGCCTCAGCTCGAAAGGTGACCCAGGTCCGAGAGCCATAAACCTGGCAGATAAAAGAATTGGTGCATCGCTGGCCCACGCGACAACGGGCGAGACCCAAGACCAGCAGCCTCCCGGGTGTGTCTGCCTGGCGCAGGCCCTAGGTGACATCGCAAGGTAACTCGAGATGCCGCAAACGAATCTGGCCCTGGTGGTTCTCTCACCCCGGCGGTGGCCGTGGGGCAGCCGGGCGATGCGGTCAGCAGTGCGCAGGCCGTCAGCCCCTCCGCGGAGGCCGGGCTGCCCAGCGGCTGGCGGGGGGGTGGGGGGGAGGTCGCAGGCTGCAGACACAGCCTCGGCTCACTCGTGAAACACTCACAGCTCCGATGGGGCGACTTCCGGAACACGGAGCTCGCAGACACCCGTGTGCATCTTTACCATTTACGAGACCGGCATATGGCTCCTTATTTTAAGGATGCTCTGATTTTTAACAACATTCTAAATTTAAGGCTCAAAACACTGGATCTGCCTTCTTTTTTTTCTGATTCAGCAGATATTGCAAAAGAGAGAGAGGTTGGCTCTGGCTTCCTACAGTGGCCCTCCCAGCCGCGGCCCTGAGAGCCGCTGGTGCCGAGGGCCTGCTGGTCAACCCCGCCCCCACCCCCCACCCCACGCTGCTGATTTGCTCTGCTGATTTGGGTGCTAATCTTTGCACAGCGCGCTCTCTCTTGCTCTCTCTCTAAATACATATCTATTTATTTGAAAGGCAGAATTACAGAGACAGGGAGAGGGCGAGAGAGAGAGAGAGAGACAGAGAATGAATCTTGCATTCACTGGTTCGCTCCCCAAATAGCTGCAACAGCCAAGGCTGGGCCAGCCTGAAGCCCAGGAGCTTCTTCCGGGTCTCCCAGGCGTGTGCAGGGGCCCAAGCACTTGGGCATCTTCCGCTGCTTTCCCAGGCGCATTAGCAGGCGCTGGATCGGACGTGGAGCAGCCAGGACTCGTACCGGCACTCGGATGGGACATCAGTGTCGTGGGCAGCGTAACCCACTGCGCCACAGCACCGGCCCGCACCGCGGCACTGTCAGACTGGGCCTGTTCGCTGCAGGTGGACCAGAGCCTCTTGCGCGTCCCGTGCTCCTGCTGTGAACTGGGACAAGGCAGCCACCGTGTGTTTTCCTGTGCAAGGCCTTGGAGTTCTGCCACCCCCGTGGGCAGTGGGATGAAGGCTTCGTGCGGGAAACACTTGACTCTGGTGGGCCTGCGTGGGGCTCCTGAGTGCAGAGGTGTTGGGGAGATGCCGGAGAAGCCCAAAGTACTGTTTCTCTCCCCCAGGAAGTGGCAGCAGCTCCGTGGCTGGGGTGGAAGTGCTCTTTGTACTGCCCCCAGGCATCCTACCCCAAGCCCCCCACAGGCCACCAGAGCCGAGGGAGGCTCCCGGAGGGCTGGGCCCCACTCCCAGGCCCCTGGGCACAGCCTGGTACAGACGAGGCTGACTCGGACTGCCCTGGCCACCTGCTGCCTGGACCTGCTCTGAGAGTTGGGGTCCCACTCGGAATGCCATCAGCCCGGTCCCCCAACCACGTTGTCTCAGAGCGTGGGCACCAGCAGACATCAGACTGGCCACTTGGCTTTGTCTTCTGTGGAAGAAATCACGGTGTCAGCTACAGGGGTTCTGGTGCCCGAGAGCATGGATGAAGGCCAAGGTCCCGTAGGTTTTTGGGTGCCTTGTTTTAAAGGCCAGAAATCAATCAGTCATTCAATATATCTATCGATCTATATATTTACGATTGATAGATTTGAAAGTTGGGGTGCAGACAGAGCTTCCCAAGCACTTTTTCTTATTTTTTTTCAGAAATATATGCTTGATGAATATATTCATTGATGTACTGCTTAGAGCCTATTAGTGAGAGTTTTTTTCTCAGATTAAAAACAACAACAACATGAACTAGATAATTCTAAAACACTGCATGTGCAGATCCGAGGTCTCTGGGGTCAGAACGAAGGCATGATTTGCTTACTAACATCAGAGGGTGAGACTAACTTACTACGTAATGGCTAAGAAAAAGGAAACCTCACTTCACTGTCTCCAGGGAGAGTCACGGTGTGGACAGCACCAGGACACACAGGGAGGCTCCCGCCCACTCGCACCCAAGCCCTTGTCACCCGGGCACCCGGCACTCACCAGAGACGTACGGGCCACGCCTTCCACCACGGCATCAAACACCTTCTGTGGCAGGCGCAGCAGTGTGGTGCCGCTGTCCACGATGGCCTTGTCTGCGTTGTACTAGAAGGGGCGACACAGGAGGGGACAGGGCGGTGAGTGACAGCGGCTCTGTATGTGCACGCCCCGCCCCCGCCCCATCACCCAGCGCCTGGTGTCTGCTGACCCGGGCAGCCGCGGGCAGCTCTTGGCTGCAAGTCCGCTCACATCGTCAGAGGTTGGCACCTGGATCTTGCTTCCAGCCCAACAGCCTCGCTTCCCAGACACGGAGACGGAAGCCCAGAAAAGGGAAGTGACGTAAGCTGAGCCTGCGGCCAGCCCCAGGCAGAGCTCTGTCCTTACTCAAATTCTCAAGAAACCCCTCGCGGGGCAGAGGGACAGTCCTCTGTCTTCAGAGGTTGAAGTGGAATGTTGAGGGTGGGCGTCGAGGCGCAGCAGGTAAAGCCACCGCCTGCGACACCGGCACCCCACGTGGGCTCTCCACTTCCCATCCAGCTTCCTCTAATGGCCTGGGAAAGCAGCGGAAGGTGGCCCCGGTGCCACGTGGGAGATCTGGATTGGAGGACCAGGCGTCTGGCTTTGGCCTGGCCATCACGGTCACCCGGGGAGTGACCAGCAAACAGAAGAATTCTCTCTCTCTCTCTCTGTACCTCTGCCTTTCAAATAATAATGATAAAAAGCCCCCTAGAGTGGTGGAGAAGACAGAGGCTCCCTCGAGTGCCCAGGACCGTGTGTGCCACACGCAAGCAGACGTGCAGTGAGCCGTGTGGACGCAGGGAGCTGAGATCTGTCCACGGCCATCCACTCCTACCCCTGCGGCTCAGGCAGGCTGCGCACAGCGTCAGAGCTGTGGCTGGGGGAAGCTGAGGAGCGCTTCAGTTTTATTTTCTTGTTTTTAGGCCTCCTCTGTCCAGCTCCGTTTAAATAAACCTGTGAATGCCACTCTCAGAGGGTCGCACCAGGAGAATGGTGAGAACCAAGCTCCACACAGCCCTCACTCGTCTTCCCCAGGACGTCACAAAGTGTGTGGAAAATAGGATCAACAGATAAGGTTGTTTTGGTGCAAAAAAGAATCTGAGGGGCCAGGGTCGAGGGGAGCCTATTAAGCAGCCACTTGCAACGCCGGCAGCCCACGTGAGCATCAGCTTGAGGCCCGGCTGCTCCACTTGCGATCCAGCTCCCTGCTGATGCACCTGGGCAAGCAGCAGAGGACGGCCCAGGTCCTTGGGCCCCTGCACCCACGTGGGAGACCCGGATGGAGTTCCAGGCTTCTGGCTTTGGTCTGGCCCAGCTCCAGCCTTTGCAAATATTTGGGGAGTGAACTAGTGAGTGGGAGATCTCTCTGTCTCTCCATTCCTCTCTGTAACTCCGCCTTTCAAAAAAATGAAAATATAAACCTTTTTAAAAGTTATCTATGTAATTATCTATGTAATCTATGCATACAAGGGGTCTTGAAAAAGTTCATGGAAAAATGTATGCTATGAAAAAAACTGCATGGATTTTAAAGTTTAAAAAAATATTTTTTATTTAGTTGAAAGGCAGAGTTACAGAGGAGGAAGAGGAGGAGGAGGTGGGGTGGGGGAGGGGACGGGGGAGAGATCTTCTAACCATTGGTTCACTCCCCAAATGGCCGCAGTGGCTGAGGCTGGCTATGCTGAAGCCAGGAGCCAGGAGCTTCTTCCAGGTCTCCCACGTGGGTGCAGGGGCCCAAGCACTTGGGCCACCTTCCACTGCTTTCCCAGGTGCATTAGCAGGGCGCTGGTTTGGAAGTGGAACAGTTGGGTCTCGAACCAGCGCCTACATGGGATGCTGGTGTCACAGACAGAGCCTGTGATGCCATGACACCAACCCTCAAATTGTTTTTGGGACCAAAATAAGCTTACCTTTTAATTCCACTTTTCCTATGCTAAATTCACCCTATTAAGACAAGTGGTTGAGAAGAAGCAGTTTTGGGGGTGGGGTGGGTTGGGGTGTGGATGGAATCCATCGGTTTAAATGGTCACACAGAAGGCCCTGTCTCTTCCCACACAGGGAGCCTGGGATTGATCTCGGAAAGTAATGCAGTTCTGACTTCCTGCTGATGAGCTGTGCTGTCTCAGGGGCCCAGGAGTGCACACACGTGCACACATACACATGTGCACACATGCACACACACTCACACACATGTACACACACACACACACACACACACTCACACACACACAGCAAGACCCCAGGGCGGATACCTCTCTGCAGTCCAGGTTCAGGCTCTGGCCTCACACACACACACACCACACACATGCACACACACACTCACACACATGCACACACACACACGCACACACACACACACACACTCACACACACACAGCGAGACCCCAGGGCGGATACCTCGCTGCAGTCCAGGTTCAGGCTCTGGCCTCACATGCACACACACTCACACACATGCACACTCACCCATGCACACTCACACACATGCACACACACACATGCACACACACACACAGTGAGACCCCAGGGCGGATACCTCTCTGCAGTCCAGGTTCAGGCTCTGGCCCCCAACCTCCAGCTTCAGGATTTCTATCTGGTAGTACCACTCCTCCTTAATCGGGGTATACCAGATGTCCCCTTTGTACAGACTCGGTTCAATTCCACCCAGGACCTGGGAAGGCAAATATTTACAGGTGTAAGAGAAAACCCCACAGGTTCCACAGAGAGGCCGAGCCGTGAGGGGCCCCTCCCTGGATGCACTTCCCTGGGCTGGGCTGGGACAAATGCGAGGCACGCAGGCGAAGCAGGGGCCGCTGCTGGCCTGCCTCCGAGGGCGGCGTCCGTCCATCACCTAAAGGCCGCGCGTCCTCAGAGCTGGACACCTCCCCCAGGAAACGCTGTGGAGCAGCCAAGCCCACGGAGCCACGAGGGTCAAGAGAGGGGAGCAGAGGGCGGGGCATCCCTGTGCAAACCCGCAGCATCACCCCCCCTCCCCACAGGGGCCAGGCTGCCTCCCTCAGGAGGGGGGTGAGGAGCCTGGAGCAGCAGGTGGGAGCAGGGGTGGAGGTGGTCTCTGCCCCCCGGGTCCCTTCCCGTGCACTGCTCCTGTCACCTCCTTCAGACGTCTGAGTGCTGGGGGCCTTGAGTATGTAGAAGGAAACACCATTGCCATGCACTGTGTGCACACGTGTGGGGGGGGGGGGGGAGGAGGGGAAGGGAGAGGGAGGAACAAAGGAGAGGATGTGTCTCTCCACCCAGTGTGTCCACCAACCCAGGTGAGACCAGCCAGGCCTCCTGTTCCCCATCTGCCCTTCCCCCACCCAACAGAAAGCCACCCCTCCCTCCAAAGGTCCCGGGGAAGGGCTGAGAGCCGTCCCTCCAGGCGGCCGGAGGACTCAGCGCCCTAGCAGCTGAACGCACTGCTCTCCAGCTGTGGAAGCCCCTACGGGCAGGGTTATCAACCCCCGCGCTTCCTCCGTGTGCTTACGCGCCCAATGCCTCTGAGCAGGTCGTTGGCGACACGGAAATAAACCAGCCCCGCGTGTTTGTGATTTTTCGTCCCCTTTAAGACTAAAAGATACCCACAAGACTACCTCCGTTGGTACCGGATCCGGCCACCGGCAGGCCCGCCCCGCACATCTGCATGGAGAACACGTCGGGGATTTTCGCCTGCGCCACCAGGGAGTCAAAGAACGTCTCCAGGGAGCTGGAGGGCTGCGGAGGGCGACAGAGAGAGAGAGGGCGTGGAGCAAGGTGACCCCGCGCAGGCAGCACGGGCGGCACCCCTGGTCTCTGTTCGGGAGAAGGGAGAAGCCCCTGTATCATGGTTCGGGTTTCCCCTGGGCTCTCTGGCTAGCCTGGGAGCGAAGTTAAACAAGGCTGATGAGCACGAGAGAGGCATGCGGCTTTGTTAAAATCTGGAGGCACCTGCACATCGTGCCCGGGGTGGGGGTGGGGACTGAGGGGGAGGCAGGACCCTTTCACACGTCCCAGAAAGAAAATAACCCGAGGAGCGATGGCCAGGGACGGCGCCTTCCAGGGATGCCGCTAAGACGGTCGTGCAGGTGCACAGGGCACCCAGGGCAGCCCCAGCGCAGGCCTCTGGGGCCGGGGCGAGGGGGGCGCCCCTGTGGCTCGCCGCGTGGAGGAACAGCCAGGCCAGTCCACGCCTTCTGCGGCTGCAGCCTGAGACAACCCACAGGCACCGGGCATGCGCCGCCACGGCCTAGTCCCGCTCGGCGTCTCCTGCTGCCCAAGAAACCGCGCGTGATGGCGGTGCGGATTCAGAAATCTCCCGTGACGCGCCTCCTGCCTGGTACTTTTCCTCTGGCCACACTGGAACAACAGGAGGCGGAGGTGCTGACCGCGGATCAGGCGTGCAAGTGGGTCAGGGCGGGCCACGGATCCGCATCTGCGACACCGCGGGGCCTTTCCAGGCTGCCGCCGCACTTCCATGCCTCTGCAGGCGCCGCTCCCACCGTGCACACAGGCGGCGGCTCGCCCAGGGGCACAGTCCGCCCCAGACCAGGGACAAGCGCCGCCGGGCCGCCGAAACCTGGCCCTCGGACCGGCGGTGCTCAGGGACAGTGAGGAATCAGCTTCTCCCACTGCCGCGTCACGGTGGAGCCGGTTTGCCCGGCCCCTCCCTCGGCCACAGCTCCGCATCCGGACTGGGACCTCGGGAAGGGGAGGGGGAGGCGGCGGCGGCAGCGCAGGTGCTGGGGTCCTGGAGCAAGTTGGCGCCACACTTGCGTGTAGGGTCCGGGCTGCACACCTGGGGGTGCTGGCGTGACCCACCAGTCACCGCGTGTCCCCAGGGGCTGGCGAAACCTCCCTCAGCTGCAGGAGCATGGATGCCACAGGGTCCTAAGGCCATTTGGGAGGGCTGGGACCCTGGCGGAGGGGGGTGGTGGTGGTGATGGGGGAATCTTCCGCAGGCACGGTGCGCATGCGCACAGAGCTCAGCCTCTGCAGGGTGCGAGAGCCAGCCGCGTGCACCGCCCGTGGGGGACGCTTTGTATTCCGGTCAAGGAGGGACACACAGTCCCCGCTTCAGGCCGGCGGTCCACAGTAAACGCCCGGGAACAACCGCCCGGCTGCACCCTGGCTGGCCCTGGGACTCGAGGTCCGCGGCTTTCTCAGCAAAGTCGGGGTCAGGACAGCCCCTCGCAGCTGCTCCATCCACACGGAGAGCCCTGCCCGCGGGAAGGGCCCTGGTCCTGCTCTGTGCAAGCCTCTTCCAGGAGCGTGCGCCTCAGGGCCCCGCGGGTGGGCTGACGCACACACTCCAGGACCACCGCCCAGTGCTCTGGCCAAGCTGCCCCAGCCCCAACCGCGCTGTGGGTCCTGCGTCCAGCCACTCTCTCCTTCCTGCAAATCCTGCTGTCTCCTCAAACCCTGGGGGTCGGGAAGCCAATGGTCAGTGACCTTGGAGCTTCACAGATGAAGAGGTGACAGGTCATGGGGAGAATCGGGACCCCTCCCCTAAGAGAAGCCCAAAGCTTTCCAGGGTAGGAAGTGCAGGTAGTCCGGTCGGGCTAAGACTTCTGCATCATTAGCATAAGAGGAGCCACCGTTGGTACTGACGACCAAGGGCTCAGGCGCTCCCCCCCCCCCGCCCTGGCTCTGCAGCCAGGGGCTCTGACTTGGGGGGGGGGTGAACCTGTCTGCCCCTCAGTCTCCAGGACACTAATGGGGAGAACACAGCCTTGCCAATGCCCGCCTCCCGGGAAGGCTCGGGCGCTGAGTGACCGGGACCCCCCTGGCTCCCAGGGCTGTGTCTGAGGCTCTGGCCCCTGTGAGCCAAGGGCGGTGGGGGGGACTCCCCTGTCCACTCCTCACCCCATATCACTCGCTAACAACCTGGGGCCGGGACAAACGCTCCCTCTGTGTGGGGAACGAGGCCTCCCTGTGGATGGGGTGCCCCGGGGTGGGGAAGGGTTCCCCCTGCACACTCTCCCTCCTTCCACACTGAGCTCCAGCTGAACAACGAGGCCAGGGTGTGGCTCCCAGGTTCAAGGCCAGCACAGGTGGCTTCCCTCCGCCCTTCTCAGGTGCACACAAACCTGCCTGTCCCCAGGAGCCCCAGGCACACCCTGGCGGCTGATCCCGCCTGCCTCTGGCAACTGTCTCGTGGAAAGTCCCCGCCCACCTCCCTCCTTTGCACACCAACATTATTCACTGTGGGTCAGCCCCAAGTACAAACAGTTGGCGAACATCTGATTCTGCCTGTTTGTGGACACTCTGATGCAAGGGCCAGGAGTCCACCATCTCTCCCCGGCTCATTGCTACGTGGAGTTTCAGGCGTCTCCTGGGGTGACGAGAAAGCTGCAGGAAGTGCCGGTGGTCTGAGGGCGGGACCTCTCCCTGTCAGTCTCCCAGGGCTGCCCGCAGGCCCCGCCTCTGTGCAAACACTGAATTTATTATGTTTACTTTGACTCCTATCCCAGGAAAAGCTCCTAATCAAACTTCACATTCAATGTGATTCAGATGCTGTTAACATTTTAAAATTACAGAAGGAAAGACGAAGATAGTGTCGTCAGTATGTTTTACAGGAAGTTGCCAAGGGATGCGTCATCTTAAATTTAAAAGCGCTCAGAGGGACTGGTGTTGTGCAGCAGAAGTGGAGCTGCCCCCTGCGAGGCCGGCAGCCCGTGTGGGCGCCAACTGGATTCCACCTCTGGGCCAGCTCCCTGCTCGTGCGCCTGGGAAAGCAGAGGATGGCCCAGGTGCTTGGGCCCCTGCACCCGCGTGGGAGACCCGGAAGAAGCTCCTGGCTCCTGGCTTCAGCCTGGCCCAGCCCTGGCCATTTGGGGAGTGAACCAGTAAACAGATCTCTGTCTGTCTCTGTCTTTGTCTCTCTCTTTGTAACTCTGCCTTTCGAGTAAAATAAAGACATTTTAAAGAATGCTTAGAACTAGAATTCACTGCTGCTTCAAACATGATTCTCACTGTCTCCAAAGGCAGCCGGGGCCCGCGTGGCAGCCCCTCGGTGCCTGGGCTCGGGGCCCCCACCCCACGTGTCCGTGGAGCCACCCTACCTTGGCCAGCGTGGCGTACGCGAGTCCGAGTATTCCATTCCACTTAATCCCAGGCAGAAAGAAATTCTCCGACTCAAAGATAGTGGCGACGTTGACGAGAAAGGACGCGTTGAAGCCCTTGGGGATGGTGACGAGGTCCTCGCCCACGACGCCCGTCCAGCTCCCCTGGGTGTACTTCACGGTGACGTCAAAGCCCTTGGGGCGGTAGGTACTGGACCTGCGGGGGAGAGGAAAGCCCACCGCGTTCTGTCAGAGATCCGTGCCGAGAGCCGCGGGGGCCAGGCTGGGCGACGCGGCACGCAGTGTTGACGGTGACAAGGTGACAGTCCCCCAAACACGGCCACTACACTGTGGCGACTGTTATGCACACCACGTGTGCACACGTCGGTCCTGGGCTCCGTTCTTCCCCGTGCCCGAGTCACACCTGGAAAACCAGGTGCTTTCTGGAAGGACGTGAGCCTACAAAGGGTGCAAGCGCCTGCCTGGCCGCTGCCCAGCGACTCCCGGAGGTGACCGCCGCCTGCCTGGAGGCGCCGGCACTTGTGCTGGCCACGCCCAGGGCTCTGCGCCACACACACAAAACCCCCTCCCCCTCAGGGCCTGGGTCGGCCCCCGATGTCAGGGCTCCCTCTCAAGCTCTCTCCTGATGCCCCAAGCGGACAATAATCACACCAACATCTGGACATGCTGGGGCGCACATCACGGTGGAGGGACCCAGGACTCGGCACACACGGAACCCCGAAGCTGAGAGTTACCAAGAGAACGGCACTGACGAGGTCACATGATGGACAGGGCAGGTGCACGCCCCAGCAGGCAGGGACAGTGGACACGCGCATCCCTAGTGTTTCGTGCAGTGAGGAGGGAGTGAGAGACACCCAGGGAAGAAGGCAGGGCAGGGGACGGCAAGTACTCGGCCGGGAGGCCTCTCTGATTCGGGGACAGCTGGGGCCACGTGCGTGTGGCTCTCGGGGTGAGTGGCAGCAGGTAGGGCATTCACACCCAGGTGAGTTTGAAAATTCTGCTTGCATGATAGGCGGGAGTCTGAGGAATGCCTTCTGGAAGGTTCCTGGGCGTTCAGACCATGCGCCAGCTTTGTTACTGGCACAAAATACCCAGGCGGCTGCCTTATAAAGCAAAGAGGTCTACTGAGCTCACAGTCTGGGGGTCCGAGCTCCACGCCCCATAGCTCAGGCCCTGGTAAGGGCCCCTCTGTGTCACCTCCCGGTGATGGCACTGGTAGGAGCGCGTGAGGAGAGGTGACCACATGGCCAGTGAGCAGGCGAGGAGGCTGGGCAGGGCCAGCCCAGGCTTTCACTGTAAGCCTCTGGGGACACCCACCAGGGTTCCATGAGAAACACCTTAATCCCTGACCAGGAAGTGGCCCAGGGACCTAAGGGCCCCCACACATTGGGCTCCTCCACCATGTCCCAACCTTGCCACTTGGAGATCCAGGCTTCCAACGCACGCAGGAGCCACTGGGGACACACCCACCCCACAGCACTGTGCAGACTTTCAGATCCCTCAGGCACACAGCAGTCACCAAAGCAAGCAACCCGAGGCGCTGCTGTGGCCTGAGGGTCCCTCACTCTGCATCACTGCTGCGCCTGTGCCGCACGAAGCGTAGGAAGCCCCTGCTGCAGGAGCACTCGGGCTGCGGGCCGACCTGGGGGGGCGGCTAAGTGAGAGGTGACACGGCCTTCTACCTAAGTACGACGGTGCTTCAGAGAGTACGCGGAAGTGCAGCCCAATAAATTTACCTTTTTAGAAAAAAGTTTTATTTGTTTATTTAAAAGTAACAGAAGAAAGGGAGAGGTGGAGAGAGAGCGAGAGGGAGAGCGAGAGATTGCATCCATAGTTCACTCCGCAAACGGCCACAGGGATGGGGCAGGCCCAGACCAGGAGCCCGGAACTCCGTCCAGGTCGCCACACAGGGGCTTCCGCTGCTTTCCCAGGTGCATTAGCAGGGAGCTGGATCAGAAGTGGAGCAGCCAGGACTCGAACTGGCGCCCACATGGGACGCTGGTGTTGCAGGTGGCGGCCTAACCTGCTGTTTTGTGCTAAGGAATTTTAAACGATCGTAGGAAGAAAATGTTGAACTTGGCGGATCCTCTTTAAAATTCTTCGTTATGCTCAGCCTTCAGCAGGGGCCACCTCTGCGTGCAGGGGTTTGATCCGGGGCTCTCGTTCTTGTGGTTAGTCCTTTCCACCTTTCCTGCTTGCTTCTTTTATCTCAGAAAACATGTTTTAAAAATGTCCACGGGGGTCGGCACTGTGGCGTGGAGCCAGATCAAGTCCTGCTCTCTGCTGTGGCCTGGGAAAGCAGTAGAAGATGGCCCAAGGACTTGGGCCCCTGCACCCACGTGGGAGACCCGGAAGAAGCTCCTGGCTCCTGGTTTCGGATCAGCTCCAGTCTGGCCATCGCAGCCATTTGGGGAATGAACCAGTGGATGGAAGACCTCTCTCTCTGTCTCTCTCTTACTGTCTGTAACTCTGCTTTTAAAATAAATAAAATCTTTAAAAAAAGGACCCCGCGACTTCTGTGAGCCAACACAGCGCAGGAGGCAGAACACCCGGGCTGCCCGGGGAATCCTGGGGTCCGCTCTGTCCCAGGCCCCCACTGGAGGAACTCTGCCCAGACTCCCCCGGGGCTCTGCAGCTCAGGCCAGGTGCGCAAGCTACCTGTGGACTTGGCAGCCAGGCCCAGGTGCCCACCAGGTGCCTGCCACCACTCCTCTGATTCTGCAAACCACCAGGCCCCCATGGACGGGACCAGGCCACCTGGAAGTCTCTGGTTCCACCTGCTCAAGCCACATCTCCAGGAGCAGCAGCGGCAGTGCCTCGGGCTCCGCCTGCCCAGGCACACACCAGGCGGGCTGGAGGGCCGGGGCTGGGCAAGGTCTGACCCGGACCGCAGGTGGGACTTGGAATCTGATGGGTGCATGGCCGACTCAGTCTTTAGGGGATGATTCTGTAGGGTCCGTGGAGAATGTGATCGACATTCAGTGGCCTTTGGCAGGAGGAATGTTCCCCATCCCTGAAACCAGCAGGCAACCCGAGCTGCCCCGGCCCACGGAGAGGCGATCGCTCTGCATCCGGTTCAGCCTCCTCTGAGAAGCCACCAGGTCACCTCTCACGCCCGAATCCCACCTAGGAGCATCGGTGAGGGAGGGAACGAGCGGCTCTGTGGGGCCCAGGAGCCCGCGGGAGCCGGGACGAGGCACCGCAACGAGAACGCAGAGCGCCGAGTTTCCCGGACAGATTAGTGCAGGGTCAAGGGCGCACACTGGGTCTCTCCACCGAGCCACCGGCCGAGGCTCTTTTATTGGTGGAAAAGAAGTCAGTCTGGGAACACGCACGGCCCGCTTTTGCTCCACAGTAGCTCACCGGAACACCCGCCTCCGCCGGCAACAGGCGACTCAGACGGCGAACGGCAGCTGACGTCTCATCCCCAAATCAAAGAGCTTCTCAAAGAGCTCCCAGCCACGCTCCAATCGCTGTGAGAGGCGTCAGGAGGCCTTAAACATGTGTTTCCAAAGGCCTGGGCTGGCGTCAGGGGGTGACAAGCCCACCAGCCGCCCTATTGTCACGGAGACACATCAGAGGCCCGAGCACACACGGAAACACGGCAGGGCAGGGAGCCACAGCTCAGCAAAGAAACCTTTGTCAGGCATCGGGAAGGGAAGAGCATGTTCTTCGGTTTTGATCAAAAACAACGGCTGACAGTGTACCTTCGGCCAACTCCGCCGCTGGGGACAGCGTAGGCAAAGTAGTAACACGCAGCCTACACCTGAGGGAAGCTTTCCAGCCCTTGCAACTGTACATCTCACTCGACTGTGAGCCATGAGAAGCACGGGAAACGCAGAGCACAGGGAAAAGGCAAGGTCAGTGTCAACCTAAGGCAGCATTTAACCGCAAAGCACACACGGGGGCAAGGATGCGGCTGATGGGATGGAATTAGCCCAAAACTCAGAAACAGGTACCCCAGCCCTGAAGCGGGTACCCCAGCCCTGAAACGGGCACCCCAGCCCTGAAACGGGCGCCCCGGCCCTGAAACGGGCGCCCCGGCCCTGAAGCGGGCGCCCCGGCCCTTGAAGCGGGCGCCCCGGCCCTGAAACGGGCGCCCCGGCCCTGAAACGGGCGCCCCAGTCCTGAAACGGGCGCCCCAGCCCTGAAACGGGCGTCCCAGCCCTGAAACGGGCGCCCCAGCCCTGAACGGGCGCCCCAGCCCTGAACGGGCGTCCCAGCCCTGAAACGGGCGCCCCAGCCCTGAAACGGGCGCCCCAGCCCTGAAACGGGCGCCCCAGCCCTGAACGGGCGCCCCCAGCCCTGAAACGGGCGTCCCAGCCCTGAAACGGGCGCCCCAGCCCTGAAACGGGCGCCCCAGCCCTGAAACGGGCGTCCCAGCCCTGAAACGGGTGCCCCAGCCCTGAAACGGGCGTCCCAGCCCTGAAACGGGCGCCCCGGCCCTGAAACGGGTACCCCAGCCCTGAAACGGGCGCCCCAGCCCTGAAACGGGCGCCCTAGCCCTGCTGAAGGTTCTCAGTAGAAAGGGGCACTAGGGCGGGGGGAGGGGTCTTACCTGGGATAACTCAACCGCAGGAGCACCTGCAAAGCCGGGAAAGGCGGAAGTGGCAATGGGGTGACGCTGACCACGGAGGGGAAGTCTGGGCTTTCCCTGGACAGCGCTGGGTTCTGCTGCTCCTCTCTGTTTCACCCACAAAAGGAGAAGCAGATGGGACCTGGGGCGTCCAGAGAGCTGACAGGGTTCTCGTGGGGCTGGCAGGAGCAAAGACTTGGCCAGCTAGACGGGGATGGTCCCCAGAGTTTCTGCCAGGACTCAGGTGCCTGGAGGCCAGACAAGCCCAATCTTGCAGCATGGAAAACAGGCACCGTGGGCCATTTGGACACAAGCCTGGGGGTGGACACACGCTCCACTTGGATAAGCCAGGGCCAGGCCAGCCGGGAACTCAGAGAGCTGTGCGGTGCTGGGGCCCGAGGGAGAAGCAGAGCTTGGTCAAGGGCGCGGTGAATGGGGAAGAGGCTGTCTACAGTCGGGGGAACATTGTCTGCAGATCAAATGACAGCACAGTGTTGGAAGTGGGGACTGTCACCTTAACAATCGCACCTGCAGGGCCAAAGGAGCCAGGGTGGGGAGATGCGCCTCGGCCTTTGTGGAGCTCTGGCTGACGTACAGCGTGACAGCCGTGCCCGCTAACC